ACCTTTATACGTAAGGTATAGTTATGAAATACCCTATTGACAAATCTTCCTTTATAATACATATTTTGTTGTAACCCATATAGGAATACTCTATGCCCAATAACACAATGATAATCTAAATCTTATTGCCAACCCTTTCACAACATTTGAAAGAAATTGTCCACACGAGGCGTTAATCGCTTTTCCGTTTCTATTTCAATTCAATAAATCATATAATAAGATATGACTCGCCTTTATTTATTAGAGATAAAATTTATTACACACATAAACCTTAATGTCTTTTTCAAATACATGTATAAACATATCTTCCACTCTTGTGTGTCGGCGTCAGCTGATATTGCTTATCGCTCTGCTTACCCTGAGCAGAAAATGTGCATTATCGAACTTAGTACAGGTATTGATGTAATGAAACTGTACACCTGCTCAACATTGACACCTGTTCAACATGCTTGTTGTTATTGCACAGAAAACCCAGCGCACTTCTCTATATGATTTCTACTAAAACTAGCGTAAACCAGCAAAAGAGTGCAATAACACTGAACATGTATATGGAGGGGGATCCTCGCCAAAACTCTCAATTTGTGAAAATACATTTGTCGATTTGTGAAAGTACATTTGTTAATTTGTCAAAATACAAAATACATTTGTCGATTTGTCAAAGTACATTTGTTAATTTGTCAAAATGCAAAATACATTTGTCGATTTGTGAAAATGCATTTGTTGATTTGTCATACAACAAAAATACATTTTTTCATGTGTGAAAATACCTGTCTAACCTACAAAGCACAAATTTTGAAATAACACAGCTTAACTTTACAGTTTCAAGATATGTAATTTCAACATTTGTATTTTTAAGATATGTAATTTCAACATTTGTAGTTTCAACATTTGCAGTTTCAACAGTTGTATTAACGACACTTGCATTATCGAGCCTTGCATTAACAAGCCATACGTTAGCGAACTATGACCATATTTGGGTTGATGACGTTGATCATTAATCCGGAAAACGCCGAGTTTGGTCCTGCAATGATGTCTCCCGTCTCAATAAAAATATCTCTTCTTGGGTGGAGTTTTTCAAGGGGAACTACTCTCATTATTTCCGTTCTTCAACATGGCCAATGAACTTATTCATGAAGTGAAGTCCCGAATAGAGGGAATTTGCAATTTGTTAGATACACAAAATTTTCAATCGCTTTCAGACATCATACATGATATACATACAGTAGCAGGTATTGTCTCAGATTTAATGTGTTCCATGCCTTCCACGGAAGAAGACAGTATAACGATGAATGGATTACAAACTTGTTTATTTCATATTCAAAATGCTGCAAATTTAATCGAACGAAAGCAGGCCAATGAAGTTATAACTGGATCTCTCGGACATTCATTGTCACCAGGACATACTGGACGACCATCAAAGTTAGTTCCATTTGAACAGCTAGAATTTTTGGTTTCTAATGGATTCAAATTGAATGACATGGCCAATTTATTTAATATTAGTCCCAGAACCATGAGTCGAAGATTGCTTGAATATGGTATTTCATTAAATGAAAAATATAGTCATATTTCCAATGATGAGCTAGATGAAATAGTAATTGACCTTCTTAGTAACTTTCCAAATATTGGGTATCGAAGTATAAAAGGACACCTGCACAGTAAAGGACATATAATTCAAGAATACAGGGTTCGTGAATCGATGATAAGGGTTGATATAGAAGGTGTTCTCTATCGTCGACTTACTTTAAATCCAGTAAGACGAAGAAGATATTCTGTTCGTGCGCCAAACTCATTGTGGCATATAGACGGCTATCATAAATTGATAAGGTTAGTATTGACTCAATTACAGGCAGGGGCGGACTAAGCTTATTTATCAGCCCAAAGAGGGACTAGCAGTGCATGGCGTTGTATGCCGTGAATATTTGAAAATTCAATTGCTGGATGGGGGCCTGGTGTGGCCGAGTGGCTAGGACGCTTGCCGTTCATGGTGGGGGTCCCAGGTTCGAATTCTGGCGGAGATCGGGTCGACCTTGTGGATTTTCTCGACTGGGTTCCCCCTTGTCAGGTGGGGAATGACATGGAAAAGCGTTCTAGTCCATTGGATAGGATGAAAAACGGAGGCCTGTGTTCACTAAGCTACGAGAGGGCATGTTAAAGTCACCTCGGCAGTTAAAATCGGTAGTGAGAATAGGGTGTTGCCGCTGCCTTAGCAAAATTTACCCTCATTACCCTCTCTAGTTAGCCTATAAATTAGTGCAGAAAAATGGGACGTTAATCTCCATTTCATTTCATTTCAATTGCTGAATGTGCAATCTTCGCTTTAAAACTGACTATTAACATGCATAAATTTTTGAAAGGCCCTTTGGGTCGGGACCCAACTGGTTTTGGCCAGGTGTGTCCCCCTCCATACCTGCTTACAGGTGATATACCGTTTTGTAATGTAAGCTTATAGAATTGATTTAAGAGTCTTCGTACTGTAGTAATCATTGTTGATTTCTGACTCCTGTTAAGTGAGTTCGCTTACTCAAGATAATTAATCCAAAATCCATATTTGGATTTTTAACACCCATTCGAAACCAGCTATTCAATATCATTAATGTCAGACTGGTTTATGATATATAGGCTTACTGTATTTGTATGACTAGTATAATATTTTATATGGGTTGCATTTTTCGAAACACGATGGAATGGTGGTTTGTCAATTACCGGTATATTATATATTGTATCTTTAACATTAACTCATCGCAGTTCAGTTTGATTAGTGGTAGCTGAGTAATGATCATTTGTATATTTTTTCCATATCTTTTAAGCTGGCACTTAGTTGTTCATGGAGGTATAGACGGTTATTCTCGCCTCCCTACATATTTAAAGATTAGCAACAACAATAGAGCAGAAACTGTTATGCAAGCATTTAATGAAGCTGTTCAAAATTATGGATTGCCATGGAGAGTTAGATCGGATAAAGGGGGCGAGAACGTTCGTGTTGCAGAATATATGATAAATTCCAGAGGTTTTGGAAGAGGCAGCCATATTACTGGAAGAAGTGTCCATAATCAGAGGTAAATTTAGTACGTCTGCATTAATATGTTCGATTTTATGTTATACATCTGTCTGTTCGCATTATCCATTGAATAATAATTTTCAAGTTATGGTCCTTGATCCCATAAAAATATGCCAAGTTTAAATGGTTTAAAATCTTGATAGTTAGTCAGTGTGAAGCATCATACAGAATGCCCGTATTATTGTTTGGAACATGTTTCAGACTTCTTCCACTTGACTACAGTATTAAGAGGTTTCAACTATTATAAACGATAATCAGCAGTCTTCGTGCCATTCGAGGGTTTTCATTAATATTAAAGATATGTGCAGTTTTGCGTTAACCAATGGATATGTAACATTTATCACCTAATTAGAATTTTAAACTTGTGATCGTATATTAGCGTTCAGAAAACGAATGTCATGTTCAATATTTGATACGATTCAATAACAATCACCAGAGTTACTGCCCTTTGTTTGTAATCTAGATTCCAGAGTTTTAATGTGTCTTTGTCGTCATCAAATGTAGGTAAAGTAGTTTGTTCAAAAATCAAATTATGTACCATTGTCTAGACTTTGCTAAAAACATTCATTCTGTGACTTTGTGTGGTTTCATGAAAGGAATGTTGACAATTTGTTGCTCTGGTGTCATTTTCAACAACCTGTTCATATTTTAACAGTGAAATAGATCATCACACTTAATTTTTTTTTTATTTCAAAGAATAGAGAGATTTTGGAGAGATTTGTGGATGGGATGCATCAGTTTTTTCTACTACCTTTTTTGCTACATGGAAGCAGAAAACATATTTATACCAACTGATGAAATACATATTCAAGCCCTACACTATATCTTCATACCAAGGATTCAAAAACACTTGAACGAATTTAGAGAGGCCTTTATCAGGCGATCTATTAGGACAGCTAATCAGAAAACGCCGTTACAGTTATGGATAGATGGTCAAATCCTGGATCCAAATGAAAATCTTGCTTCTGAGGTATATTTTCATTGATATGTTTATTCAAGAAATCCAGATTAATATAATCTTTCATTTTTTGACAGTGGTTAAGATTATGCCTAAAAATATTCAAAAATTGGAGGGTGAGATTTTGGGATATTTTAATTTCCATAGCAAACAAATGATTTAATCTGTTAATGATAAGATAGAAGTCTCCAACCTTATACACCCCAACAACTGTTATTATATCCCAGAAAGTTTCAAAACTTTTCGTTGAGAACTGTGATCTCTATCGTGTAAAGAAGAAGTTTTTATGGGCATGCACAATAACTAGTAAAATGAAACTTTCAACCTTTTCAAAGATAAGATACAACTTTTAAACTAGCATATTCATAATCAGTGACCTCAATAATATATAATTAATTGCTTGCTTCGTCAGAATCAGATGATTTTGTGACTTGACCTAATTTTCGCCATTTTTATAAACAATTACAGCAACTCTGGTCTCTATCACGTTTACAAGGTTTCGTGAATCAAGGTCAATAACTCTGGAAAACATTGAATTTCGATAGGCTTCTTCCTTATGCTGGTATAAACAACTACAGCAAGTTTCGTTAAAATTCTTGTTTACAATATGAAATAAACTTATATCTTAAATAAACCTATAAATTCAATCCCAAACAGACGTTCATTAGATTTTAAATATTTTTTTATAGGCAGACTTTCAAAGTTACGGAACAATACAAAATGGTTTGATGGCATATGATGATGAACCAGAAAGAGTTGTTATTGGTCATTTTCCTATATCTTTAACTGATCAAAAGATGGAAGAATTGATGTGCCAAATAAATCCTTTATTCGATTCAGAAAATCAGGGAATGGACTTGCAACCGTAAATTTCATTTCTAATTATCATGAAATGAATTAGGAAATCAACACTGCTTTTTTTCAATTAATAGGTTTTTATTGGGTATTTCACCAACAGAGGCCCAGTTCATGCTACATACATTTTCAATTCAAACCAAAACCATAAGCACATACAATTATGTTAATAAAAGCATTTTCTAGGAAATCGTATTCTTTCATATATTTCGTTTGGTTAATAGTAATAGATGGCGCACATGTATTTACTGTAGTGCAGTTTAAATTTTCATGGTCAAATAGTAGTAGCCCATCTCCTATATTTGGAGATATGGCAGGGCTACCAGTTGTTGCCAGAAGAAAATGTCCAGTATTCAGTTGAACATCATCTTCGAGATCTGTTTCCATATCCAACCACTGGGTACTGATTTTTCCACCTAAAAATATATACAAACTTGTTAAATAATTTGAAACAAAAGACCATCAAGAAAGTTAACATACGCCATACAGCAGTTTAACTTCAAGGCAGCTACTAGTCTTCTATGAAGGGCTGCCGCCTGCCGGCATTCATTATATTTTAGAATGTATCAGTAAAATATTCATAACTAATTTCCTAATACATGCATAAACTTTAGTTTGAGCTATTTTCCGATATGCACAGGTAATGGATCTCAGCGACAGGTGCATGAACATTTCGACCCTTGACGGAGGGGGATCCTCGCCAAAACTCTTAGGCCCGTATTCTCGAAATTGGATTAGTGCTAATCATAGATTTAATCTCTGACTTTTCGACCAGCCATATTCTGAAAGGCTGATTAAATTTTAAGCTAAGATTTTTATAAACTTTGATTAGCCTAATCAATGAGTTAATCATTGTTCGAGAATACCATAAAATGTGGTATTCTCGAACGTTGACTTGTACTTAATCATTGACTAAATCACCCCAATGTTTAGTCATCTCAGGGGGGTAGTTTAAGGAAAGATTAAGTACATGCATATGCAATTACAATGTATTGAATATTATAGAAATTATTATTTTTCATTGAATTCAGACTCATTGCACTTATATTTCGCCTCAAAAGTAACAAATTTACATTCATCGTAAATTCTGTTGAAAAAGTTTTTTTTATATATATATTAAACATTCTCTATTATATAAAATATAATTATGTGCACTTTAGTCAAAATACAAATAATTTTTAGAAGTGTCAAAGAACCTTTAAGGAATTGCAAAGAGCGGAACAAATCAACCTATTGGCACAAAAGGGAACCCACAGCAGCTAAATCGTCCGGGCAGTCGACAAGGATTGTCACATTTAATTATCAGAAATCAATAGAATTTGTTTGGCTTCTAGTTCTGCCCTCAGCGAACATTTACTATACAAAATGTAATAGGCATCCTCCTCTCAGTTAGTTACCCTCATTGCACACGCTTGGCAAATGTCCGTCTCTAGTTAACCTAAACAGTGCATAAAAATGGGACGTTAAACTCTATTTCATTTCATTTGGTATTAGTGTTGAAAGTAGAGGTCATGTTCTAAGTGAGTTAGAATTGATTTATAAATTTTTTCAGTTTAGAAATCAATTCGAACTCATACATAAAGTCCTTTCAAAACTTAAAGCATACATTATTTCCTTCTAATGTTATTAAGTGTGGAACTCAATGATGAGTCTAAAAAAAGCTAAAGATCTCCTCTATCATCTGATAATATACAGTTGTGCATCCACCGAAATATGACAAGAAATTAAGGAGAAGAGATGGTGTAAGGTTGTACAGAATCCCAGACTATATAATTCTGGTTATTAAACTCTTTAAAAGTAATAACTTATACTTACGTTCAAGTTTCTTCAAAAACTGATGAAAATTGTACACAATTATCTCTTCTAACTCCTTGTCTTCTGGTTTAATTGAGAAACTAGGATGAAACAAATTAATTACATCCAAAGCCTTAACATCTGTCCGGCTAAAGTATTCGGTGGCTTCTGCTGAATACTGCATTAATAATTTATAAACACCATGAAGTTTGAGACCTAAAAAAAATAAGATCTATGTGTATCTGTACAAATTAATTTATATCATTTCTATTATCACAGCCTTGAAATTTAATGCTGAGGGGTAAAAGTTGCATATATTGGATATATGCCATTTCAGTCTGTATAATTTCAAAATGTTTTTGTTGGGTTTGTTTTAAATTTTTGTTCATGTTTAAAAAAAAAAAGCACCATAAAAACACAATTACATTTCACAGCTCCACAAAGAGAACAATTAAGATAAGTCAGCAAATACTTTCATAGACTAACTTGGCGGTCCGTCAATTGGCCTCGCGACAATTGGCTCCCGACTATTTGAGCGGGTCAAATTGTCGCGAGGCCAATTTGTCGGGCCCAATTGACACAGACTTACCTTCTATGAACTGCAGTAATGGTGGCAAAAAACGATAAAATCCATAATGGCATCGAATCGCTAACATGGCTTCTTTTTTGTTTTCTAATGTCAACATCTTTTTATATCCTGCAGATTCCAATATATCAGCATTTTTCTCAAAAACCTCTGATACATTTAGAGCTTCTAAAGAATCAATCTACAATAGCAAAGATTAACAAGTGATAGCTTTGACAATAAATTTATATTTAAACAGGAGAGTAAGAACTACTTTTAATAAATCAAACAAAAGTTGAACATGCCATAGATTGAATGTACGCGAAGTCAATTATCTGACTTTTGGACAAACAATGGCCAATAACTTGTGTTCGCAAACATTTTTTACTACACAGGTAACAACTGTAGCCCTTATCGTGTTCACAGGCCACAATTTAATATGGACTATAAAATGAAAATTGTTTCATTTGAGCTGCAATTACCAACCTACCTCTTTAAGAGCTTGGAGAACATCTCCAGTTAACATTTCATCTGAAATTTCACCAACTGCAGGTTGTGCATTCTGAAGGATGAATTTAGTAAACTGTGGTAGAAGGCATCTTGGTCCTTGATTTCCCATTAAGATAGAAAAGGCAACAACTTTGCCTATAGTCTTGTATGTTTTATTCTGTAGTAGTGTTGAATTGATGGCAAAACCACTATTTTCAAAAATGGGAGTATGTTTAAAGATAAGAGAGAAAAACTCCCTTGTTAAGCCGCCTGCATCCACCCCATCTTCCCCTATGAATATTACATTTAACAGTTGATCAAATTCAAAATCTTCCAGATTTTCCATGGCTGTTTGCAAAAACATTTTTCTAACTACTGAGACATGGAATCTCTCCTTTACATTTTGACCAAAAATTTTCTCGGACAGTTGATGCAAATCATATTTTAAATTACCAGTCCTGAAAACAAAACCAACACATTTATCAATCGATTATTGCTCAGATACATTTAAACAGTATACAACATAATAATAGCAATATAGGTCTACATATAGTGATGTGGACATATAACATATAGCATGACATTCACCCAAAATGGCAGCGTTGTTTCATCAAGATCTAAATTGTGATGGAAAATGTTGATAACTGCACATTTTGCTAAGCTTCTTTGAAAACAGATAAACAATTCCAAGAGAAATTAAATTATATCGTAAGTATTAAAAACAAGCGATTGCCATGCGATATACGCCCACGGTAGCTTTGACAATAAATTTATATCTACACAGTCCAAATGAATGAAATGAAATGGAGTTTAACGTCCCATTTTTCTGCACTAACTAGGCTAACTATAGACGGGTTGTACACAGTCGAGTAACTGACTACGTTTATCGAATCATCATAAAATTCAAATCGTCCTAGTTTCATTCAGATCGGCCAAAAACTCTGGCTCCAAAGAGCACACAAAATCTAAAATACAATTTTCAGGCGAAATAAGGGCAATAACTGTAATGATTTTTATCGCAGCGCACCCAAATTCGCACTTGACCTTCAAGTTACAATTTAACCAAGATCTTACGAATATGAACCTCAATACCAAATTTGAACGAAATTGATTTAAAAGTATGAAATTGTGGATGGGCCGACGGATGGAAGAGACAACGACATTATACTACCATATTAACCTTTGGTGTATAAAAAATATGACATAAAAATGAAGGTATAATATAATATATTTAGAGATACCATTAAATATGTGATCCGCATGAATAGTTTTTCGAAAGTGAAAATGCAAACATGTTTCTATAAACACACAAAGTATAAAAGATATTATATTATAGGAATAAAAAAATTGTTTACTGTGTCCTTCCTTCGTCTGTTTTCTTGTCATCTTCGCCGCAAGATGCAGCATGTATTTCAACTAAATCCTCATCAAATTCTAGACCGCAAATTGGGCAAGATTTCAGGCTGTAAATTAAACAAAAGTAGAGGCTGATAGAGATGGGCCAAATAGTATATCGGATATACTGTATAAACTGTGTGGTGTCAGTATTGTGTCAATACATGCACATCAATGCCTACTATTGTGCAAAAAACAATACCGTACCGATATCGAATTTGAAATTTCAATACCTCCTATAACTTAACGGGGCCATCCCACATGAAGACAATATGCAACCAAACACTGTTTGTGCGTATAAAAATATGCATATATTTTTGTTAACTCTAATAATTTTCTTTTTAAATTGGGAACTGGAGAGGCCACAGATAAAGTGTAAATGAAACAAGACTATCTGTCTCTTATGGAAAATGTTAAATTCATGACAGATGTCTTATAACCATGATTATTATAATCCGTCCATATTATTGATAATAATAATACTCATCATTATCATTCAATATTAAAATTAAAACAAGAGTTAAACGCCAACAAAACAAGAGTTAAACGCCAACAAAACAAGAGTTAAACGCCAACACAATATGCGCCCAAAACAGCAGCATTTTCTCATAATTAGACCTTATCAAGAAGCAAGGACAATAACCCTTTAAACAATATTTGGAATATAACTGGACTTACACCATGTTTATGAACTTACTAACCAAGTATATTCCAAAATACATGCAGTCTCTGGACATTAGCAAGTTTTGGAAAAAGGGCAATAACTCTCCATGTTACTTTAGAATCATAGCCAAGACACAACTTATCCTATACCTTATGGCTATGAACTTACATACCAAGTATGAACGAAATCGGTTGAAAACTCTAGGCGTTGGAGTGGCCACAAAAATTCATGAAATTATGGGCAAAGGCAATAATTCTGCAAGTTACGTTCAAAATGCGAACTCACATACCAATTATTAACAAAATCGGTCGAAAACTTTAGGCGTGAGAGTGATCACAAGAAATTGTGGACGGACAGGGGCGACGACAATATACGACCAAAATTAAATTTTGGGCGCGTATAACGATGGACGGACGCCGAGGCGACACCAATATACGACCACAAGTGGGTGTATAAAAAGAAGAATAACATAACTACAAAACTAACATTTAAGGGAATGTTTCACAAAATTATACAGTTTACAATTAATAGAGGCTGTTTTAAGCTATTTTCACATAAATTTAGATTCCTAATATTACAGGCTTTTTAGATCCAATTAGATCGTGTACGTAGGTGTTGTTGGTGCCGTGGACGAGGCAATGACATATAATAGATCCTTGGCACGGCATAAAGGAAATTGTAAAAGGGTTGGGGCTTGAATACTTATATACACAATCTGAAAACTGTTATGAGAAGATTAAATTATCATCTCTATATACCGGTAGTAAACATATAATTACATGCATCTATCCCTTTAACAATGAATCATAACAAAAACTCATATGATCAGGTTCATAACTATGAAAAAACAAAAATATAAACTTTGCAAAATGAAATACTTAGTTTCATGAACAACAAGTTCTTCGTTCTTGGTTGAATTCTGCAAAAATTGTAGGTCGTCTTATCACAAATATTAATAATATACAAACGGCCACAAAAGAAAATCAACACACGATTTGTTAACACAGCAACCAAATTTTCAAAATATTTTCATCTGTGATTTTAAAAATATTGTTTCGTGTAATTTGATATTTTCATAGCATATAGAGGGTAATTTAAGCCGATGTGAATACTTCAAAAAAAATTCTGCAACATTTCAATTGACCTCCACCTCATTAACAGCACTGTACCATGTTCTACCATATGTCACTTCTGGAACATGAAAATTCGGTAAGGCATGGTCGCAAAAAGTTGTAAAATATACAGAATATATTTTCAAATTTCTTGTATGACCATCCCTTACGGGATTTTCAGTTCCGGGTGTGATGTGTGGCATAACATAAAAAAATGTTAAAGGTGTGCAGGACAAATGCAGTGTCAAAGAAAAATTTTGTTCAAAGAAGCTTTAAAAAAATTATTTTTGACAAATTTTTTTTTTAATGCAATATTTTATTCACATGGAAAAGGATCAGAGAACAGGCTAAAGGCTATGTGAGACTCCTCTCACAATTATTTCATTATTGGCAAAAAAATAAGAGTTTTTACATCACAAACTAAGTGACTTTAGAAGGCTGTCCTGTCAAATAATGTCATGAAAATGTTGTTTATTTGTGCTAATGAGATCTGCGTTCTGAATACCACTTTTAATTTTCTTACAAATTCAAACACTATTAACTCACCTCACTTACACAAGCATATTTACAAATAGGAGTAACAGAGGACAACTGCTCTGACTTCTGTCTCTTTATTTTAGGTAAATTATCTTCCTGAAGCTAAATTAAAAATTTTAATAATAATTCAATGAAGGCAAAGTCAATAGGTTATCACATAGTGAGTAAAAACAATGAGTTAACATGACATTGGTTATTCAGAAAACAAGTTAAAACGCTCAACATGTAATGGTAGGCGAATAAGTCGATAACAGATGCAAAACAACGCAACATTTCGGAAAGTTATCCATTCATCAGCAAACAAAAATTATTATTAAACTAGATACAACTAACAGCAGAATCTAAATGTGACAGCCAAAACATTACTGGTACCACCAGTTTCAAGGGAGAACCCTCAAGTCAAATCATTCAGAACAGTAATATAAACAAAACAAATAGTAATACATTAGGTACTGGATAGTAAATGTGTTGAAATGTATTTAAAAGGTCAAATAATAAAATAAACATGAGAAAAACAACCTAGAAACTGGATTTTGCAAGTAATGTAGCTAACAGTTTTAAAGCTATGATTTGTATCATGAATTATGAAAAGAGGACAGGCATAGAAAAGGTCTACAATATAATAAAACGAATTTGTGTTAATTTCATGCGGTTTAAGGGTTCCTAATCGGTCAATGATCTTTATTTCACATTGTTTTCTGTTTGCCGTACTGCCACTATATTATTAGTGCTATGGCTGAGCTTGGCTAAAGTGCATAGCTACAGGTTTTTATACGACCAAATTATGGTCCGAAAATATGGACGGACTAGTGCAAGGACAATATACGAAACAAAATAACATATGGGCACATAAAAATCATATTTCAAGATTATGCTTAATTTCTAACCTTTGATTAGTTTGCAATGCTTACTTACCTCATGAAATTCTTGTATATGTTTTCTCAAATTATTTAAAGGCACTTTTTCACCGCAATCCATGCACTCCTGTGTTATCATATCTGACTGTAAGTAAAAGATAGTTTCAGTTTTTATCCCAGAATATTATACATGGAGAAATCAAGACGGTATTATAGAGCTATATCTGAATCTCACAAATCTGATCAGAATAGGTTTATATTCTTTAAACTGTAAAACCCCAATGTAATAGAATTCTTGAATTATGAAACTCTACAAATTAAATGCTAATAATTTGACATTCACTACTCTATCCTATATTCAACCAAAAGTTTGTGTTTAATATAATGTAATAGACGATGCAGGTAGACTGCACAACACTAGATATATACAAGACATAACACACACAGTATATAATACAAGACACAATATATACAGTACATAAAAAGGCAAATACTCCCAGAGAAGACAAACAAACTCTACCAGTAGCAATCAAAATCACTTGACGAAAGGGCTGTGGTCCACGGGGTCTCCGTAAGCGCAAACTCAGCAACAAGTCACTAAATGTCAAATACTATTCGCTCCATAGGAGAGTAACATATAATTTTACAAAATATAAAATTATGATAACGAATCAAATATTAGCTGTCCAAAGTTAGAATTAAAGACTTTAAATTTATCCAATTTGTGATTGTTTATTAGTTTTTCAATTTGTCTGTGAAGTCTGCTGTGAAGAGCACCTTTATTTAAACATTTCTTATACAAAGAAACTAATTTATTTATAAAATTTGAAGACGGCTACATATGTTTATAAATCTAAATGTCTGAGAGTAAAAAACATTATATAAGGTATTTTCATTATTACTATTACTTTCAGTTGAGGGATATTTAATTACATCAAAAGGGAAATAATCTGTTTTGTCATATACAGTAGTATTAAAAGTACAGTCATCAATAGTGATATCAATATCAAGGAATGCAGCATGTAGATCTCCAGTGTTTTCTTTATTGAGTACAAGTTCAGGTGGATAGATTTGGTCTCTGTAGCGCTTAAAATTTCCCTTATCATTAATGGCAGTTACATCGTCAATATATCGAAATGTGTTATTAAGATTGCGTGCAGTTAGTTAGTTTTACTCCTATCTTGAAAATCGAATTTGTATTTATGCAGGTTTCCATTTGCCATAAATGGCGCAGGATCAGTGTCCATAGGAAGGCCAATGATCTGTTGAATGATTTTATCACCTACTGCAAAAATGGTATTATCAATCAAATAGTGGATAAGGTAGCTTGCCAGGAATAATTTCGGAAAACGTTGATAGGCTTCTTCCATATGCTGGATGTATAAACAACTACAGTAAGTTTTGTTAACTCTGGTCTCTATTTGGTTTACAACAAATTGTGGGCAGATGGACAGGGGCGATGGCGTGGGCGTATAAAAAAACTCGACTGTACATACCTGCATGCCTTTTGGAGTCCCACTAATAGTAATATCCAGATCTCTCTGTAAGGGTTTGATATATATGATGGCTTGTCCAATGTATGACTGTGCCAGAAAAGCACTTGTGTACCCTGATGGAGGGGGGTCAATAAACTCCATTATGGTTCTTCCTATGGCACGATTTAGATCATACCCTCCTCCATCTATCAATTTTGGATAATGTGAATATATTTCATTTGAAAAATACTTCGCATCATCATTCTTAAAAAGAGTTATTCTTTTTTCTCCCAGTCCAGCATCCTGTGTGACTTTTCTTGCGAACCGATCAGGGACAGTGTTCTAAAAATATATTAAAAATACATACTGGTACATAAATTCAAATAATAGCTAGAAATTTGTTGAAAATCTTAAATAATATAAATCATCTGAAATATAAGCTTACTATAATAAATATTATTCAAATGTTCAAATCTCATGATTTAGTTTCCTGGTCGTACTACCTAAGGTAAAAGGTAGTAACTTGCTCTTATACAATCCAATATCCAAACTTCACATTGAAATAATTTGATTTGACCGCATAATTCTGCGTTGTAGCATCTATGTCGAACCTTTCTAACTTCAGGTTGTAATAATGTCAAAAGGTAGTAACTTAGTGATTTCCTAATGTCATTTTTGACAGTTAATGCTCCTGCCATTGCAACTTAACTACAATGATCACAACCCACTATTACCCTGTATTAAATGTGATGTTTGTGGTAAAATGTTTGGTCAAAATCAACTGTGACATATGTATTACTATATGGCTACAAGCTATCACCTACTACCACATCTACCTAAACTATGTACCACTATCAATTGAATGTCACATCTGTATGTATATAATGTGTATACTGTTTTGTTTATTGTTAGTTTGTCGATGTTCTCATAACATACTATATATTCGATGTACAATGGGCCTATGGCCTTGTAGTATCTGAATAAAGTTATTATTATTATTATTCAATCGTGTCTGCATAGTTTTAATACAACCACCAAAGAACATGTCGTCTCTGTCTATCTTTCATTTGTCTGTAGTCCACAATGTATTGTGAACACATACAGAATTCATCCAATGTTTATTTTCAGAGTTCTTGCCCTTGCTGTATGAAAAATTCCTTGTGGACTGGGCGATGATGAGCCCTATTAAAATTCAGCTTATTCCAATATGTTCATTTATCATATAAATACTTTACCTGTGTGCAACTTGACACACAAAAAAAACGATGAGTCCATGTGTTCTGTCTACCAGTACCAGCAACTCTTTTATTACTTGTCCTCGAAATACTAGAATAGGGACAAAACAAACGGCGCATTTCGCTGACATTTGGTGTTGACGGTCCAGGTAATATAGTAGTAGGAGTCTGTGTAGTTCGAGATTTTTCTTCCAGTTCTCTGGCTGCCTGCCTAAGAAGCTCAGCAGTTTTCTTCAGATCATTATCTGACATTTTTATTCTGAAAAATATAAAAAAGAATTTTAGTTGGACAACAACACAACAGACACCCAAAACAAGAACATTTTCTCAAAATTAGACATTATCAAAAACAGAATAACCCTGTAAGTATTTTTGAAATATAACTGGACTTACACCTTAAGTGCACAGGCAAACTAAAGGCAGTAACTCTTAACGATTTTTATCGAATCACAACCAAATTCAAACATGACCTTCATTGCATGGAAACAAAGATACGTACGGTACTAAGAATCGTTAAGTTCGAATAAACAGTGTTGTCTAGAAAGGGGTATATATTCTTCCGGAATTCGTGGATGTTCATCCAGGAATAAAATAGGCCTGTCAGGGAAAAAATAGTTTTAAGGAAAACAAGCGGTCGCCATGCGATATACGCCCACCAGCAGCTTTGCTCAAGTAAGGTAGTAACTTCAATGATTTTTATCGCATCGCAACCAATTCGCACTTGATCTGCACTGTATAGCGATAAAGACACATAACAAGTTTCATTAAGATCGGACCATGACACATGCCAAGTTTCGTTTCCATCAAATGAAAATTGTAGACTCTTATCGCGTTCACAGTCTAAATTGGCGAAGTTTGTCGAAAAAATGGGCATAACTCTGAACGTAATTTTCGAATTGCACCAAATTCGAACTCATCCGAGATCTTTGGATATGCCAAGTTTCATTTCTATCGGATGAACATTGTAGACTATCGCGTTCACAAAGTCTAAATTGACGAATTTTGTCGAAAAAGGGGCATAACTCTGCAAGTAATTTTTATGTGGGCGCATAAAAACCAGTTTGGTTGAGTATTTCAGCAATATTTTTCTTTACTATTTGCGAAAAAAAAGAGGCCGCAGGGGAACCGGAAAAAACCCCCAACTTAATCCCTAGCTACCGACTCACAAAGTCTAAATTGACGAACTTTGCCCAAAAAGAGGCTTAACTCTGCACGTAATTTGTATGTGGGTGTATAAAAATCAGTTTGCTTGAGTATTTCAGGAATATTTTTCCTTACTATTTGCGAAAAAAAAGAAGGGGCAGGGGAAACAGAAAAAAAAACAACTTAATCCCTAGTACCCTACCTACCGACTCTATTTTTTTTTGGAGAGGAAATATTTTTTTTTGGAGAGGAAAAAGGAAACACAGGTATTTTTTTGGCCTAAGTTTGATTAATATGTTTGGATAAAAAAAAAATATGGCATCTAGTTTAGATAATAAATGAATGAAATGGAGTTTTTAACATCTCATTTTTATGCACTGATTGGAGTCTCTATACAGAGCACACAAGAAAGAGCAGACGAGCAGTAACTCTTGCAAATGTTAGGCCTATCAAACCCAACTTCATTTTACGAAGACAAAGATACCCTACAGGCTACATACAAAGTTTCATTAAATCTGGATAAAAACTCTCGCCAGTATAGACTAGACCACAATGCATATAAAAACAAAATCTAAGAAAATATTTTAATTCAAATATTAGTCAAAGTAGATGTGTGGATCTACGGTATTATTAATATTATAGCCTAAAACTACTACTATTTATGTGTCTGTTTCAAAGTCACAGTGTCACCCCAATTCCGCGAATTCGTGCAAATATCTTCAAATATAAATTTTGACAACAAAAACTAATTTCACCTGTATTATTGATATGTCTGTTGATATATGATTTTACAAATTAAAACTGTCTAAATTTACTAATTAAAAAATATTACTCTAGCCTATAAACCAATCTGATTCACAGAGAGAATTACTTACGAATTTGCCTATAAACTAGTTTCATTTGCTGTTTGAAGAACGGAAATAATGGGAGTAGTTCCCCTTGAAAAACTCCACCCAAGAAGAGATATTTTTATTGAGACGGGAGACATCATTGTAGGACCAAACTCGGCGTTTTCCGGATTAATGATCAACGTCATCAACCCAAATATGGTCATAGTTCGCTAACGCATGGCTTGTTAATGCAAGGCTTGATAATGCAAGTGTCGTTAATACAACTGTTGAAACTGCAAATGTTGAAACTACAAATGTTGAAATTACATATCTTGAAAATACAAATGTTGAAATTACATATCTTGAAACTGTAAAGTTAAGCTGTGTTATTTCAAAATTTGTGCTTTGTAGGTTAGACAGGTATTTTCACACATGAAAAAATGTATTTTTGTTGTATGACAAATCAACAAATGCATTTTCAAAAATCGACAAATGTATTTTGCATTTTGACAAATTAACAAATGTACTTTGACAAATCGACAAATGTATTTTGTATTTTGACAAATTAACAAATGTACTTTGACAAATCGACAAATGTATTTTCACAAATTGAGAGTTTTGGCGAGGATCCCCCTCCATAAATTATGGGAAATTTGTGTTACGACAATACCGGGGGCACAGGAATATGTGTTAATTCATTAAAAAATATGTATATTAGTTTTCAGACAAGTCCTTGTGTAAATTACAACACAAGTATAGGGTCTCTCTATTTGCAAAAGTCCTTGTATTTTACAACAAAACAAGATTTTTTTTTCAAAGTAGGATATGATGTCATATCCGTGAGAAATACCATTGTGATTTATTATATATTTCCGTGACGACACGAGAAAGCGCTATACAGAACACGAAGTACACCAAGGACATCGTCGTTTAAAAGGTATTTCATGAAATGTTGTTTAAGTTTATTGATATATCATCAATATCTATGAGGTGCTAGAAGTTTGGATTGAATCACGGACGATGGGAATTTGTTGATTTCATCTCCGTATTGCTATAAAATTAGAAATTTCGGACATGTCACAACAAAATGAAACAAATAAATATTACGGTGGTATGAGACATCGTCTATTTGATAAGTCACTTATTTGTTCATTCAGTACATGTTTCGTATTAAAATAAGCCTGATCGTTATTGATCTCTTGTGTCGTGCTTATTTAATTCAAAAATAGTTTACTAAAATTCATTTATTTAGTTTTTATTTATTTTCATTCATTCATTCATTCATTTGTACATTAATAACATAATTAAAAGCAGAACTCCTTTAGCCCAGGTCGGAACAGAACAGTAGGACGTTAAATCCCATTTCATTTCATTTCCTTTATATACTGCTGCTTGCGGTAATTTAACGAAAGCTTCATGTTCGTTTATTTTATGCGGGCGGTACAAAGAGCTAACGTGGTTGCATCAATTTCGCGTTGCGTTTTCATATTATCAAAATCTGTTTCATGTCCTTTTAACCATCCAATGAGGAATCGACTTCCCACCAGGTTTTAATTCTAGACACTCACTTTAAAGTAACTTGCCCGAATCAGTCATTTAATATTATATAACAATAAAACATTTCAATTCATTTCATTTCAAGTTGTCAAACTTTCATTCCTCCTCGTTCATCAATCTTACGCGCAGATTTGTTAATTCTCCAACAAGGTGTACAAACTCTCCCGATACGGTTATAGAAAGTAAATATTCCAGTTTATGTTCTTACTGACTATTATGCAGTTATCTGTATCATAGGAAATGATGAAAACATCAAAAAAAAAAAAAAAAAAAAGCGATGAGCGACTTGATCGCTGGTGTTTATTGTCGCGTGGAGTGTGCGCATGCGGATGTTTACACACGGGGCTCTCTTCCACTACGTCAATCAACCGCTGTTTTTGTTTTGAAAATTCAACATGCAAATTGCGGATCTGAGCGTAAACGATGTAAAGAGAAATCCTCACTTATAATGTCATTTACAGCGATTTTCCTGTACACATTGAAAAACAAAAGATCGCTCGCGGAAACCCTGCCTTTTGTTGCTGGCGAAAACGTGTCTATAGCCGTCAGCAACAAGTAAACAGTCCAACAGAAACATGCTCTGGGTATCCGATGCCTTGTTCAGTAACAGATACAAGTGTTTTACAATCAGTAATTTATGCTTGCCGTCAGATACAAGTGTTTTACCATCAGTAATTTATGCAAGCCGTCAGATACAAGTGTCTTACCATCAGTAATTTATGCATGCCGTCAGATACAAGTGTTTTACCATCAGTAATTTATGCATGCCGTCAGATACAAGTGTCTTACCATCAGTAATTTATGCATGCCGTCAGATACAAGTGTTTTACCATCAGTAATTTATGCATGCCGTCAGTAAATGAAATAAAATGAATTGTGCACTGAAAAAACCCTTGTGTTGGATCTCAACACAAGAACTTGTGTTAAAAATATTTAACACATGTTTGTGTTGTATTGCATTGCAATGACACAAGTTTGTGTTTTTTTCAATGTCTTAACACAAACTTGTGTACATTTATAAAATCTTATGTGGTTTTTTTCCATATAATTAATTACGTCGACATTAAAGATAACATTTATTATGTTCCTTTATCACTAGCCTATATGTAAAACCACTCTTCCTGAATTTGAATGTCGAGTAATTCACTTGATTTATTTTTTAATATTTCTAATTATCTAAAAGGATATATTAATTATTACAAACATTAAGTAGAAATCGCAATGTTTGTATCGTGCGATGCATTTAATATCTCTTTTAAAACAACGTATTTTATAACAGTATACTGATATAAGAGATCAAAGTTTTAGTCAATTATTATCTAAATATAAACTATTTATTTAATTAGATATAATAAAAGATTATTCTGATTCTACTCTTTGTTTATTTTCACATCTTGTCTCAGACAATATACAGAGACAGGTTATTACAATGTCTGCATTTGGAAGTGTCTGATTGATATCGCCCCAATAAACTTGACACATCAAAGACAATAACAATTGTGTTATATCTACGTTTTAAAAAAATGTTTGAATGGGCGTGGAAATAGTCGAGTTAATCTTTTTATTTAATTTAATTGGTTCATTAATCGAAATTGGAAATTTATTCTTACCTGTAAATGACCAATTAAAATGAATTACTCTTAAAACAAAGAAAGAAATATTTATTGAAGTAATTTTGCGGTATTAAACCCTGTGGTACTGCAAATGTTAACTGTATTATTAAGCATTAGTATCGAAAAAAGTGATATTGTTGTGAAAAAAGTTTGTTCAGAAAATAAGAATATCAGGTTTGTGATTTTGGTATTTTTTTAATACAATGTATTTATAACGCAAATTTTTCGTTTCGGTTAAAACAAAATATACCTCCATTTTAATTGGCCGAAGGATGTGTGACTAATAGAAATATGGCGGGCGGACAAACTGACCAAACAGTATATTTCGAGGTATTTGAGGTAAGCTAATTTAATATTATATCATAACTGCATGTGCATAATTGTGTTTCTGTTTGATTAAATATTCAAAAAATCATTCTTAGGATACAACCTCGACACCAGTCCGCCCTGAATTGCAATGTTTGTTTTGTGTTCTGGGCGCCATTTTGAATATAATACAATCCAGCGATAGTGTAGTCTAATTCCTTTAAAAGGGAATCCGAATTTGTTAATTTTCTGCAATACCACTTCGGTGGTAGCGGACGTTAAATAAAGCTATTTCACGTACAAAGACCTACAATAAAATCCAGGTGAATTGGGAAAAATATTCATGTATTTTCTTGATGAAGAGTAGGTATTTCAATTTGTAAATGCCCAGTCATCTTAGACAAATAATAATTCCAACTTCAAATCAGTTGTATTTATTCAAATCATACCATGAAGAATTGTATTTTTCCACTTGCATAATAATAAAAACTTGACTTTTATTATTTTATTTCTTCAGGCCAAGAGCACGGAAAATTGGTAATTGCCTTGTATCACTGCTAACTATAAATCACAGGGAGCCTTGGGCAGAAATGATAATATGGTTCTCAGATATGTTACTGTGTATAGACTGAACAGAAAATATTTATACACTTGCTATTACAGTACTGGCCAAATTAATAGCAATTTTTTCTAAAAACGTTGCAGAATTAACTCACTAAAATTGAAGTATGAATAAAATCATACACCGTGAATATATTGAACTGAATATTCTTACACATAACCATAGGCGTACGGGGAAATTTTTGACTGGGGGGCGGTGGTGGTTGGTGCCCCAAAAATGTAGTTAGGTTCTTAATATGTTACATAATAATAATAAATTCGCTGTTAAATTGGACACATTAAGAACACAATATTTTTTTATACAACCTTTACAAAGTACAATTGTGTGCCCAAATTTTCCCAGTATTTGGTTCCCAGCCCCCCACCCCCCAACTCGTACGCCTATGCACATAACCATATTGACATCTACTTCACATTGCATGGTTGGTCGACGCAACGCCGTGTATAGATAAAGTTGCGACAACTGTGAAGCCAGGAATTTCATATGACGTCATGCAAACTTATTATCTATTTATATGACCTATTATATTGTTGGATGTCATAGATTTCAGCGAATAAGTGTATATAGGACATAAAACATACATTTTTTAAACGAAAAGTATAGCTGAACATACTATTATTAGTATTATACAACAAGAAGCGCACATTATTGTTATATAGCCTTATTCTATAAGAAAAATCAAAATAAAAGATACACTAGATAAAATTACTATTAAACCAGGGGCGGATCTAGGAATTTTGAAAAGGGGGGGGGGGGCGCTGCAAAATGAAGGCATTGACCGTGGAGACGGGGCTTGCCGCTGAGGGGGGGGGGGGTCCCCAAGAAAATTATCCGTCATTTCCTTGCATCTGTAGCCATTCCAAGAGCTATTTCCCAGACTGGTGTGTTTGAGTCGATGGTTCGAGTCATTTGGGATCCCTACAACGGGTTGGGAACGGACATATTTGAGTCTGAGAAAAGGCACTTTCAGCCGTAAAAAAGGGCACTGTTGAAAATTAGGGGGGGGGGGGGCTCCCCCCATTGAATCCGCCTCTGATTAAACATATTTAACTTGCATTCGCTTTTAAAGGAGCTAAATCGCTAATATTTGGGAACTAGAAATTGTCACAAATGGGTCGCACTAACCTTGATGTTGACAAATACGTAAGACGATATGAACATCAAGGTGATATATGCATATATGCAGCATAGATAATTAAAACTTCTATTCAAGTTAAACCAACTGTATCTATTTACGTCTTACGTCGAGCTGAATACATTTTATGATTTATTGTCATTAAAACATCTATTGGTGGTTAATAGTGTGTAACTAAAAACTAAAATTGGATCTTATTATTGCCAATGATATAATGTACCTTGAATTTGTTATCACGAAGTCTATCGCCTCCAGATATTTAAAGCGCGTTTACAATATATTCATTTTTTTGTATCGTAAAATTCATCTTCATTTGACGAACTACACCCAAACTACAGTCAGTGTAAACACGGTTTGGAGACTATATCTGAACTAAAGGGTACATCCAACTACAGTGTACATCATGCTTAAGAGACACTATCTAATATCCAACAGGAAAAATGACGATTAATTTAATATCCGCCAATTGGTGTTGCTGCTATTTTGTATTTTCAAAATTTATTTTCAAATTCACAGACATCGAAAACCATATAAAGGACATTGCAAAAGTCATATCTTACGTATCTTAAGAGATGCCCTTTTAGTCTACCAAATTTATGTTTTTTTTTGTTAAAATTGCTTTATACATGTATTACCAAATTCGGTAGCCCTTTTAAAAGAAATGCCCGGCACCACATGGAAAATACATTTCTTTAATTGATGTT